AGTGATACCAATAGTGATAAGAATAACAATAATATTATCGATAACAATTAAAATACTAGAACTGAAAATGGAAGAATGGTAATAATCACAATAAAGATGATATTCGTAAGACGAATGATGGATGTAATCACAATAATACTGACAATTCAAATTTTTCGAGAATCTGCATTGTATTCCGAACTAATTGATATTGAAATTGCAGTACCACATTAAAGTATCCGAACTAATTAGGTATTCATACAATTGATTCATTCAAGTATTCAATACACATCCTACACCACAATCCAATCTCCAATTGTATCAAGAGGATAGGTGGAAAGCTTGCAAGTAGGAAATTCTCAGAGCAATATCAATAAATCTATTGAACACAATTCGTTTACCTTTAACGGTTGACGATCATTCAGAAGTGTTTGAAGGTGTAAATCATTGAAGTTGTATTTGGAGTATGTTTCAATCATTTTGCCAGCTAATTTACGATGTCCGCATCGAACCGCATGCACCACGAGAGAAGTACATTTGTCAGACTAAAAGTCTCATGTTTAACCCGACAAAGTGTCTTGTCAATTCACTGAACATGAGTGAGAACAACAAGAGATTTCAATTGTTTAAGGTTACTGCACTCAAATATGTGGTACCATTTTGAATGGCCTAAGTCTGAGACAATAAGCATGATAGATTTATCATTAAGATGGTCTTCTTCAGGTCACTTTAGCTGCAATACTCTGCGCCTTTTCCTCACACTGGCGATGTCATTCAATTCACAGAAATTTCAACGGATACGGCGTAATTATACTCAGATCATAGTAACAAATCGGTTTTGTTAATCAAAATCATGATTTCTTGAACTCACAATGTCAGCACATGTATTATAGGTGGAAGCAAGACTTGCGATATGCTCAAGAGTAGCAAATGAGATGTTCTTCTCGATAATCACTTGAAGTCGTTCATCTAGGTCAGCATGAGACTCCTCATCATGCTTAAGCAATGCGTTAATTCCTTCACGACCTCCACGAGTCATTTGCACCGGACGTGTTCTATGTCCTAACATGCGCACGTTACTTCTACCTGTTTCCACCTGCAAACTTGCTCAAATTCATACGTTTCATAAGTTCGCAAAAGAAGATCAGGAATTTCCTCATTAGAATGAGTGCATTTTGACAAAGTTTTACCAAAACCAAGACGACTACCTACTGGAACATGCCCTTCCAGCAAAAAGCCTTTCTATCTTTCAAATCCGCACTCAACGATATTCGCTGTTTAGTCCTTGAAGTAATTTGATTTTTCTCAGTCGAAATGCGGGATTTTTTCCTCTCAAACAAAAAATTTTTGTACCTCGACTCAGTGGTTATTCAATCAGCCAAGATCAGTGCGGCAGGTGTGATTATTAGTATCATTATCATTCTCTAAATTGTCATAGTCAGTGAAAAATCGCCTATGCCCATAAACTACCTCTTTTAGAAGCAACGGCTCGGTGGTCACTCTGCTTTGCGTATCATTTGCCAGTTTGTCGGATAGTTTCAACATATCATCGATGAATTTCAAATCCTCTGTCAGTACAGCCTCACATTCGGGCGTCAGCTCATACGACTCCGAATAGGTCGAGCGGAGTGCATCCGAATGAAAATGTGCTCCATCGGCTACGACTCTTTTCAATCCATTCAAATCTTTCTGCAATTGAACAATCAACTGAACTCGTCACATGAATCATTTCAAAAATAATCTCATTGTATACCGTATTTATCGCAAGATGAACCAAAATCTCTCAACATCCCGCTCTTGAGCAACCGATGGAATGTAAATTCAAAATATAGGGTTGACGTTCAATAAGAGCGACGTTTTCTCGAACAAAGCAGCATTGAATACCGTTTACTATTCATTGGCTTTTACTGCTTCTGCTATGCACAAGGAAGTGAGGATACTATGAATGAACGATAACGAAATAACGGTAAATTTGATCTGGTGATAAACTTGATCTGATGGTAGCATCCGAAAGGGTATCAACAATTCTTAGTAATGTATTATTGGTATTCTTATTTTAATTGTATTTCTTGCTAACAATTAGTGACTGAATAAACCTCAACTTTAAATCGCCCGGAAACGATTAGGCATAAGCCCTTTCTCAGCCGTTGATTCAAGCCCGATGTGGCTCAACTCTGGTAACTGCGACAAATCTTTTGCTTGAAACCGAACGGTATACAATGGCTTTTAATGTACGATCGCTTAAAGATAAAGCTAACCTTCAAGACAAATCGATGAGCAATACGAGCATACGATGAAACGCTTATGAATTTCGGATTTGTTTTTCCGTAGAAGAAACTATTCAATTGCATATCCGGAATATCCAGTCTTGGTACCAACTTATCGTTTTTGTGTTTTTTCTTCTTTGGTTCGGCTGGTTTTGGCTTGACTTCTATTGGTTTTGGTATATCATCA